AGCAGAAAAAGTCGGAAGTGGCACTGTGGCTCAAGTGGTAGAGCGCTAACCTTGAGCTGAAGAGCTGAGGGGCAGCACCCAGGACCAGAGTTCAAGCCCCACAACCGACAGAAAAAAAAGAAAAAAAAAAAGAAAAATTATTTTTGTTTTCCCCCTACAGTGACTAAAACTATGCAAATGTGTTCCAAAGGTCAGTATAAAATTGCCCTCAGACACTGGCAATCTGAATAGTGGACAGAACAGCACAATTCCTCAGCACCACATAAGCAAAAAGAAAAAAGAACATAAGCAAAAAGAAAAAAGAAAAACAGAACAATTCCTCAGCACCACATAAGCAAAAAGAAAAAAGCCGGAAGTGGCGTTGTGGCTCAAGGGGTAGACTGCTAGCCTTGAGCTGATGAGCTGAGGGACAGTGCCCAGACCCAGAGTTCAGGCCCCACAACCGGACCCCCCCCAAAAAAAATGGCTATGGAATTTCTTCTAATTAAAGGAAACCAAAGGGCTATGACAACTAATACAAATGGTTACTTTAGACTCAAATCCAGACTGGGGAAAAAAAAAAAAAGCCTGCTAGAATATTACTGGGAGCTGGATGAGTAGAATACCACTGTGTAATACCAGCACTTGGGAAGCAGAAGCAGGAAGACCGAATTCAATGCCAGCCTGGGTTATATTGCATGAACTTATGAAAAAAGACCAACTTCTCCCCATTTTACCCCCTACAAAAATAAAACAACCAACCAAATTAAACCTAGGATGATTGGTAAAATTGAATACATATGGTTTACTAGACATAATTATATTGCCTTTTTTTTTTTTTTTTGCCAGTCCTGGGGCTTTAACTCAGGGCCTGGGTTCTGTCCCTGAGCTTCTTGTGCTCAAGGCTAGCTCTCTACCATTGAGCCACAGAATCACTTCCGGCTTTTTCTGTTTATGTGGTACTGAAGAATTGAACCCAGAGCTTCATCCATGCTAGGCAAGCAGTCTACCACTACTAAGCCACATTCCCAGCCCTATATTGCCATTCTAATATAAAATTACTTCAACTTGTTATGTATACTATAGGTATGATAAAAAAATATCCTCCCCCCTTTTTTTGGTTGGTCATGGGGCTTGAACTCTGGGCCTGGACTCTGTCCTTCAGCTCTTCAGCTCAAGGCTAGCACTCTATCTACCACTTGAGCCACTGTGCCACTTCTGGTTTTCTGGTGGTTTATTGAAGATAAGAGTCACATGGAAGGCTGGGAAGGTGGCTCAGTGGCACAGTGCTTGCCTTGCATGCATGAGGCCCTGGGTTCAATTCCTCAGCACCACATAAACAGAAAAAGCCAGAAGTGGCACTGTGGCTCAAGTGGTAGAGCGCTAACCTTGAGCTGAAGAGCTGAGGGTCAGCGCCCAGGCCCAGAGTTCAGGCCTCACGACCGGACCCCCAAAAAAAAAAAGTCTCATGGACTTTCCTGTCCAGGCTGGCTTTGAACAGGTATCTTCAGATCTCAGCCTCCTGAGTAGCTAGGATTATTGGCGTGAGCCACCAGTGCCTGGCAAGAATATCCTTCTTTATAGATTACATGCTAAAGTAGTATGGAGTAAAGAATCACAATATCTGCAAGTATGTTTCTCCATCTCTTTCTCTGTATTTCTCTCAGTCAGAGTTTCACATATAGCACAAGCTGGTTTCAAACTGGCTCTTCCTTCCCAGCCTTCCAAGTGCTGGAATTTTTTTTTTTTTGGGTCCGGTCGTGGGGCCTGAACTCTGGGCCTGGGCACTGTCCCTCAGCTCTTCAGCTCAAGGCTAGCGCTCTACCACTTGAGCCACAGCACCACTTCCGGCTTTTTTCTTTTTGCTTATGTGGTGCTGAGGAATCGAACCCAGGGCCTCAGGCATGCAAGGGAAGCGCTCTACCACTGAGCCAACTTCCCAGCCCTAAGTGCTGGAATTTTAATCATGTACCACTATACCTGACCTGTAATTTATTGTCAAATGGTTCAGGGAAAAATATATGTGTATACAGACAGGGAACACAATAACAAAGAAAATATGAATGTTCACATTCTTCTAGGTCAAAGGTATATACTCTTAAAACTTTTCTGTAAATGTCAAACTATTCATTTATTTTTGGTAGTATTGGAATTTGCCCTCAAGCCTGCCTGGCTTGTTTCTTTGGTTTGCACTCTACCATCTGATCCATACCTCTAACTCTGCTTCCCTCCTCACCTCCCCACCCCCGCCACCCTGTCCCTACTGGTTCTGGGGCTTGAACTTAGAGCCTGGGTACTGTCCCTGTGTTTTGTTTTGTTTTTTTGTTTTGTTTTTACTCAAGGCTAGCATTCTATCACTTGAGACACAGCTCCATTTTCCACTGTTTGTGGTGAATTGGAGATAACAGTCTCATGGACTTTCCTCCCCGGGCTAGCTTTGAACCACAATCCTCAGTTCTCAGCCTCCTTAATAAGTAGGATTATAGGTTGAGCCACTGGCACCAGGCTCAATTTTTTTGTTTTTGTTGGTTGAGGGATCTGAACTCTAGGCCTAGGTGCTGTCCCTCAGCTCTTTAGCTCTGGGCTAGCTCTCCTCTCTACCACTTGAGCCACAGTGCCATTTCTGGCTTTTTCTTCTTACATGGTGCTGAGGAATTGAACCCAGGGCCTCATGCATGCAAGGCAAGCACTCTACCACTGAGTCACCTTCCCAGCCCTCAAAATTTTTTTTTTTTTTTGCCAATCATGGGGCTTGAACTCTGGAGCTGAATGCTCTTCAGCTCAAGGTGAGCGCTCTACCACTTGAACTACAGTGCCAACTTCCAGCTTTCTGGTGGTTAATTGGAGATAAGTGGACTTTCCTGCCTGGGCTGGCTTTGAATGCAATGCTTTTTTTTATTTTTTGGGTCCGGTCGTGAGGCCTGAACTCTGGGCCTTGGTGCTGTCCCTCAGCTCTTCAGCTCAAGGCTAGCACTCTACCTCTTGAGTCACAGCGCCACTTCCGGGTTTTTTCTTTTTGCTCATGTGGTGCTGAGGAATTGAACCCGGGGCCTCAGCATGCAAGGCAAGCGCTCTACCACTGAGCCACCTTCCCAGCCCCTTGAATGCAATTCTTAGATCTCAGCCTCCTGAGTAGGCAGGAAGTGGCACTGTGGCTCAAGTGGTAGAGAGCTAGCCTTGAGCAGAGAGGCTCAGGACAGAGTCCTGCTGAGTTCAAGCCCTAGAACAGCAAAAAAAAAAAAAAGAAAGAAAAGAATACATCCACATACAAATACCAAATCTCAAAATCTTAAATATAAAGGGCCAGTCTAGAAGTTTTGGTGCCACAAAGAACATCTAACAAACCAATGTCCGGACTGGAAATATGTGAGTTAGGAACACAGTCAGAGTAAGACGAGGCCTTTATATCCTTTCTCTCTAATTACCTTGAATTTCAACAGCTGTCAGATCACAGGTCATAGAGACTAAGTAATCTTTGTGTTGAAGTGGCCAAGAATGGTTTTAGGATCCAAAAATTGTTTACAGGAAGAAAAAAGGGCCATACTTGTCTCTCTATGCAACATACACAGTAAAGCTGGATGTTAAAAAGTGAGGAAATAATGTATTTTAATTAACAGATACCTTCAGTTAATTAATTCACAGGGAGTAGGGCAAGAAGTCTATCTTTTTACTCTTTCCCTTGTGAGAATTGTCTGTACCAAGCAAACACCTGTCATGGCAACTGGACTATTAATGAGTGTTGTATATGCGGGAAGCTGGCCAGCATTTAGTTTCCTATAATTTGGTTCCAGCTGACTTGAGAACTACACTAACATTTTGAAAGGAAGCAGTTACATGGAAAAAATGGAATACGCAAAAAGAAAAGTTAAGTGTGAGTAACTGGGTTGGCATTTCATGGTTTAGCAACTGGATAAAAAAAAGTGACAGGCTGGCCGGGCATTGGTGGCTCACGCCTGTAATCCTAGCTACTCAAGAGGCTGAGATCTGAGGATCGCAGTTCAAAGCCAGCCCGGGCAGGAGATACCGTGAGACTCCTATCTCCAATAAACCACCAGAAAACCGGAAGTGGTGTTGTAGCTCAAGTGGTAGAGTGCTCGCTTGCCTTGAGCTGAAGAGCTGAGGGACAGCACCCAGGCCCAGAGTTCAAGCCCCACGACTGACCAAAAAAAAAAAGTGAAAGGGGCTGGGAAGGTGGCTTAGTGGTAGGGTGCTTGTCTTGCATGCATGAGGCCCTGGGTTTGATTCCTCAGCACCACATAAGCAAAAAGAAAAAAACTGTGGCTCAAGTGGTAGAGTGCTAGCCTTGAGCTGAAGAGCTGAGAGACAGCGCCCAGGCACAGAGTTCAAGCCCCCCCCCCAAAAAAAAATGACAGCAGAGGCTTCCTAATGTCCCAGAAATTATCCTGACTTCTTTAGCAACTTTTGCAAAACCATGTATCTTACTCAATGATTTCTAATTCCTAAATTTCCAAATTCTTAGAGCATATTTGTACTTTTTGGGCTGGGAAGGTGGCTCAGTGTTAAAGCGCTTGCCTTGCATGCATGAGGCCCTGGGTTTGATTCCTCAGCACCACGTAAGCAAAAACAAAAAAGCCAGAAGTGGCACTGTGGCTCAAGTGGTAAAGCGCTAGCCTTGAGCTGAAGAGCTGAGGGACAGCGCCCAGGCCCAGAGTTCAGGCCCCATGACTGGACCCCCCCCCAAAAAAAATTGTACTTCTTAAAAGGATGATAGCTACTCAGGAGGCTGAGATCTGAGGATCATGGTTCAAAGCCAGCCTGGGCAGGAAAGACTGTGAGACTCTTATCTCCAATTAACCACCAGAAAACTGGAAGTGGTGCTGTGGCTCAAGTAGTAGAGTGCTAACCTTGAGCTGAAGAGCTCAGGAACAACACCCAGGCCCAGAGTTCCAGCCCATGACTGACAAAAATAAAAACAAAAAAAGATGATAAATAATCTCCCACAAAATGTCTAACACGCATTCCAGCACAATCAAACTCAGCCCATCTAAGCAAAGGCCTACCGGATCAGTGTGTTCCCAATCTGGTGCCGTATTTCATTCCACTCCTCCTTGCTTTTATGAGGCCAAGAATTCAAGTTCAACTCTGGTTCACTGGGTCTGTGGTTCAACTTCATTGCCAGTGTGTCCTTCCTCTTCACTTTGTTAGCCAGAGCACCTGTAAACAAGGGGGAGAACAAAATGAAGAAGTACAAAGCAAATAGCTACCAATAGCCTGACCTAATATAGAGTGAGGCAAGAATCTGAATGAATCCAGCTTCCCACTTAACTTACGATTCAGTCAGGAGACTGGAGGTAGCTCAACTTGTAGAATACAATCTAGCAAGCACAAAGTCCTTCGTTTAATCTCTAATACTAACAAAATTAATTAAATAAATAATAATTAACATAATAAATAATTCAGCTAAACACAGGAGGAGGTGGGAAAACTGAAGTCATCCAAAAGTCATCAGCAAGATGACTCAGACAGGCAAGGGATCTTCTTCCCTCTTCCACCAGCCTTTTACATTTTCCTTTTAGAGTTGTTAGGCTTGGGACAGGCATCAGAATTAAAGCATAAAAGCTTTCAAATTAAAACACCCATAATCTTTTTTTTTAAATTGACGTCATGTATCAGTGCACACCAGCTAATTTATGTTTTTCATTTGTTTTGTGCTAATATTGGGGCTTGAACTCAGAGACATGCACTCTAGCTACTATACTTTTAACTCAAGGCTTGTACTCTACCACTTGAGCCATACCTTCAGTTGTTTTATGGATTTGTCTGCCTGGCTTTGAACCTCAATCCTCAGTTCTTAGCAACCAGTGCCTGGATTCCTTTCCTTTTTGTCTCTCCTTTCGTGTGTGTGTGTGTTTGTGTGCACCCGCGTGTGCACGCGCCAGTACTAGTGCTTCAACACAGGGCCTGGGTGCTGTCTCTTAGCTTTTTCACCCAAGGCTGGTGTTCTATCATTTGAGCCATACTTCCACTTCTTTTTCCCCCCCCAGTACTGGAGCTTGAATTCAGGGCCTGAGCACTGTACCTGTTTCTTTTTTCAAGGCTAGTGCTCTACCACTTGAGCCACAGTGCCACTTCTGTTTTTTTCTGCTTATGTGGTGCTGAGGAATGGAACCCAGGGCTACATGCATGCGAAGCAAGCACTTTACCACTAAGCCACCTTCACAGCCCCTAATTTTTTTTTTTCTTTTTGCTTATGTGGTGCTGAGGAATCAAACCCAGGGCCTCAGGCATGCAAGGCAAGCGCTCTACCACTGAGCCACCTTCTCAGCCCCCCTAATGTGTTTTTAAAGCTGCATTTCCACTTCTTGAATCATAATACCATTATTCACAAAGACTGTAGACATAAACAGTTTTTTCTTTGTCCTATGACAATAAGTTCATTATATTGAAACACGGTATCACTTCTGTCTTTTCAATTTAGCTCATGTACCAGTTTTCCTCTACTCCATATTCTTTAATATCTATCATCAAGGTGAATTTATTTATTTATTTTTTGGTGTTGGGAATTAAATCCAAGGCCTTATGTATGCTAACCATGTGCTCTGTGGCTGATCTATACTCCCACGATTGGGTGAACAGTTTACAAATAAAATTTTTTTTGAATGACCCAATCTCTGTGGCTCCCACTCATGGCTTATTTCAACAGAGGTACAATAAGCAGGAGCCAGTACTCTGTAGAGCTTCCAACACCTAGAAGACTCAGTGGAAGAGGGGGTCTGTTTCCATCCATCTTGTACTTGCTAAGACCAGCATGTAGCTTTAGCTGTAACAGGATTGTTTCTTTTGCTGTTCCTCCTCTTTCTTACTCTGATGGCTTTCATCCTCATCCTCTTCATCTCGGTACTGAATGGGACCCTCTGAATCTGAGTCACTCTCTTTTTCTTCTTCCTCTTGCAGACACTGTGGTAATTTAGGAATAGGTGAGGTAGATGTTGTATCTTCAACAAGTGTCAATGGGCCGTTTTGCTCCTCTTCTTCATCGTCTGGACTAACAAATTAACATAATTTTATTTTCAGAAACAATGAGGATGCAAATGCAAGACAAAGTAGTGAAATATCTATGGAAAGTACACTAATAAAACTTATAAATCCCTCTCCTTAACAATCTTTTTTTTTTTTTCCTGGTCCTCAGGCTTGAACTCAGGGCTTGGGTGCTATTCCTGAGCTGCTTTTTGTTCAAGGCTAGTGCTCTACCACTTGAGCCACAGCATCACTTCTGGCTTATTTTACTGGAGATAAGAATCTCTTGGTGCCAGTGGCTCACGCCTATAATCCTAGCTATTCAGGAGGCTGAAATCTGAGGATCATGGTTAGAAGCCAGATGAGGGAGAAAAGTCCATGAGACTCTCATCTCCAATTAACCACCAGAAGTGGTAGAGTGCTAGCCTTGAGCTTAAAAGCTCAGGGACAGCATCCAGCCCAGAGTTCAAGCCCATGACCAACAACAACAACAAGAAGAAAAAAGAAACTAAATGGTGGTAGATATGACCAAAGAAAGGCTGTGGAGATTTGGTCCATTTATGAATCTTGTGAGAGACTAGTGTATGGAAATGGCATCAGTGGGCAACAGAACAATATTGGAATGTTGGCAAGACAAGAAACAGTACCATCATGTAGGAAGCCTTAAAACAAATTTAAGTAATGACTGTTTAGTAGAATACAAGTCTTCTCTCCCAAGGGTTTGTCTCCCAAGGGTTGGCCATGTGCATTTTCTTTTCTTTTCTTTTTTTTTTTGCCTGTTGTGGGTCTGGGCGCTGTTCCTCAGCTCTTCAGCTCAAGGCTAGCGCTCTACCACTTGAGCCACAGCTCCACTTCTGGCTTTTTGGTGATTAATTGGATATGAGAGTCTCATGTGGGGCTGGGAATGTGGCTCAGTGGTAGAGTGCTTGCCTAGCATGCATGAAGCTCTGGGTTCAATTCCTCAGTACCACATAAGCAGAAAAAGCCAGAAGTGGCTCTGGGGTTCAAGTGGTAGAGCATTAGCTTTAAGCTGAAGAGCTGAAGGACAGTGCCAGGCCCAGAGTTCAAGCCCCACAACCAAAAAAAAAAAAGATTCTCATGTACTTTCTTGCCTGGGCTGGCTTTGAACCACAATCCTCAGATCTCAGCCTTCTGAGTAGTCAGGATTTATAGATGTGAGCTATCTTGGGTGCTTAGCATAGAACCCATCCCTTTTAGCAAAAAAGAAATTTTTTTTTGGATCAGTCATGGTGCTTAAACTCTGTCCCTGTGCTCTTCAGCTCAAGGCTAGCACTCTACCGCTTGAGCCACAGCACCACTTCTGTTTTTCTAGTGGTTTATTGGAGATAAGAGTCTCATGGACTTTCTTGCCTGGGCTGGCTTTGAGCCGAGATCCTCAGATCTCAGCCTCCTGAGTAACTAGGATTACAGGCATGAGCCACAGGCGCCTGGGACAAAATATTCTTTGTATGCTTTAAATTCACTTGTATTTTCTAACTTTTTTTTTTTTCCAATTAGGGCTACCTAATGGTAAAGAAAGAGAAACAAGAGGCAACCATTAAAGCACTCACACTTTCAGCATTTCAATAGTGATAGGAAGTGATCTGGTCCGACCCAGGGTATTGCTGTCTTCAGAAAAGTTGTCACTGCTCTCAAAGAGCAATGAGTGAGCTCGGTGAGAGCCCTCAAGGGGAGGAGTCACAGGAAGGGGACTAGTTAGGGCTTGCTGAATTCGAATATGAAGTGGGACTGGGGGCAGCCTAGGGGGTATATGGGGCTCCCCAAATCTCTGGTCCACTGTCCTTTTGGAGACTTCATTTTTCTGGTCTTCCTGCTGGGCAACCTCTTGGGATAGATCTGAAGAAGGTAGAAACTCAACTTCTGGCACAACTTGAAAAGTCTTATTAGCAGGGAATGGTGGAGACCGTGGGGGCTCTGGAGGTATATGAGTAGGCAGTGGAGGAGATGGGGAGGAAGGTGGGACCATCATCAGTGGTTCGGAGCTCACAGATAATGCATTCTTCTCTCTTTGATCACTTGGTGTTTTTGTGGTGATGGCAGTGGCAGACTCTGAGGTGGGTACCACAGTTGATGGAATGCCTCTCTTAGGTGGTAAGGGTGGGGATGGCTTTGATAACAATGTGCCACTGTTTATGACTTGGGATAGTTCAGCTGGAAAAGAGAGCAACAATTCAAGTTAACATGGCTTTATAATGCATTGAGGGGCCAGCACCAGACTGAAATCAGAATGAACTTAGTCTTAATCTTCCAGGAAAAAATTTACAGTTATCCAATAGAAGGCCTAATGAATAAAAGTATAAGCTACTGTTGCCTGACTAGAAAGCTGATATTTTATTTAATTACTTTGACAATAGATAAACTTGCAACTTTATGTTGCTGTATGAACAACAACAACAACAAAAGTTGAAAAAGCAGGGCGCTGGTAGCTCATGCCTGTGATCCTAGCTACTCAGGAGCCTGAGATCTGAGGATCACAGTTCAAAGTCAGCCTGGGCAGGAAAGTGCGAGAGACTCTTATCTCCAATAAACCACTAGAAAACCAGAAGTGGTACTGTGGCTCAAGTGGTAGATCACTTGCCTTGAGTTGAAGAGCTGAGGGATAGCGCCCAGGCCCAGAGTTCAAGCCCCACGACTGACCAAAAAAAAAAAAAAAATAGCTGAAAATTCTGTCTGTTAAAAGTGCTAGACAATACTTCAAGAATCTTAGTACAGAGAAAAAAATGGAAATCTGGACCTGACAGCTGAGTTTCTGTCTCTCCCTAACTCCAACCTTGCATGAGTCATTACAGCTCTACAGTTCTAATTGCTCTATGTATATAACAGATAAAATCGGTTTCCTGTGGCAAAAAGTAGTTTTGAAAATAAGTATGTGAAAGCTCCTCACATTCCTCAGAGATAAGTGAACGAGACATTATCCATCCAAAGTGGTGATAACACTAATCTTCATCCTGTTTTTAATCAAGCTACTCCAACCTGTCATACAATATATTCTGAACCTGTTTTGCAAGGTTATTCACTCCACCCAACTTGGTAGTATTAGATTTTTAATGAGCACATTTTTTCAATCAAAAACAAGAAGTTTAAGCAATAATAAGCTTAGTATCACTTTTCTGAGAAACTAAATTCTTACTACCTCTGAAACATGCATGAGCTTTCCCTCTTGACTCTCCTTTTCTTGGAAAATTGCTCTAAAATGGCACATATTTATGTAAAGAAAAGAGACCTAAATACGATTTCAGGTAAATGAAAAAAAATCCAATTCCTGGTTTTCTTTGTGATCACTTATTTTAATATAAGACTATCATTCTTGGGGCTAGGAAGGTGGCTCAGTGATAGAGTGCTTGCCTTGCGTGCATGAGGCCCTGGGTTCGATTCTTCAGTACCACATAAGCAAAAGCCCCATGACCGGACCCCCCACCCCCAAAAAAACTTGTACTTCTTAAAAGAAAAGCTAGTCAGGAGGCTGAGATCTGAGGATCATGGTTCAAAGCCAGCCTGGGCAGGAAAGTCTGTGAGACTCTTATCTCCAATTAGCCACCAGAAAACTGGAAGTGGTACTGTGGCTCAAGTGGTAGAGCACTAGCCTTGAGCTGAAGAGCTGAAGGACAGCGCCCAGGCCTAGAGTCCAGGCCCCACGACCAGACCCTTCCCCCCCCCCAAAAAAAAAAGACTATCATTCTTAATTCTCTGAGGATAAAACATGATTTTATCAGAATAATTTAAATAATACCTTTTGCAGTTGTCATGAAGCTACAGTGCCAAGTACTGAATCCTAAATTACACAGGCATCCACAAAATCATCTTTTTATCTACTAGACTTGTTTATATATTTAAGGAAAGCACTGGTAGTTCAAAGCAGATGTTCTATAAACCCTAACTTTTTATCTGAGGCTTGTCTTGCCCATTATAATTTTTTTTTTTTTTGTCGGTTATGGAGTTTGAACTCTGGGCCTGAGCTCTGTCCCTCAGCTCTTCAGCTCATGGCCAGTGCTCTACCACTTGAGCCACAGTGCCACTTGGTTTAGTGGAGATAAGAGTTTCATGGCCAGGCTGGCTTTGAACCACCATCTTCAGATCTCAGCCTTCTAAGTAGTTAGGATTACATGTGTGAACCACTGGTGCCAGGACCATTATAATTTGTGGCATAATTTTCATTTTCTCAGTAAATGTCACAGATAATTCTATGCAGGTAAAATATGTTATGGTTTTCACTAGTCCAACTATATACAGTATCCTGAAATACTATCATAGAAAAATAGATTTTAATCTCAAATCTTAACTTAATTTTGATGATGTTTCCATTCATGGCCATATGCCTCATTTAAAAAATTTTTCTCAATATAGAAGATAGTCAAAGGTACAAGATATGGAAAACTCTTGCATAGACCAAATCAGTGTTGTACTAGTTACTCACTAAAATAAACATCCTAAATTAAATGCTAAACATGAAAGCCTGGACACTTACCAATGACAGGGTTGCTATTTCTGTGAGCTGGTTTGGGGGGAGGGACTGGGGGCTGCTTGGCAGGGACCATATTCGTAAGGCTAGGAGCAAGAGTAGTGTTAGTACTGACAAGAGCGACAGACAGAGTCCTGGGTACTGGGGTAGGGGTGGCAAAAGAATTAACAGTCTTTGCTAGGTTTGTGGCAGCAGTAGTGGCAGCAGGTGCTATGGTGGCGGAGGAGGCAGAGGTGGAGGAGGTGGATCTGGCTGTGCTGCCACAAGTGATGTCTTTTGCTTGTCCTTCACTTGCTTCATGAGAAGAAGACAAGGGTCTTTTCGGGGGAAGTAAAGGCGGTTTGGGAACATTCTCAGGAATAGACTCTGCTTCAGAATTAGGCCGGCTTCCAGTTGAGCCTGGGTAATGAAAGATATCATTTAAAAGGAAGTTAAGAGTAACACAAGAGCCTGAAAAGGCTATTACATCTATGGATTGCTGGTCAACTGCATAATTAATTAATTTACAGTTTTACAGGCTATAGTTCACAACACCTGCCACCCTTAGCATTCTTAAGGAATATCATTAAAATAACAGGCAAATTATAGTGGCAATTATTTGTACCAGAGCAATGCTACTAAGGAAATATATACAAATTTCTTGGGTAGAACGAGTGTGTTTGGAAAAGTCCTACAGTGCCTGCCTAACAAATATAAGGCCCTGAGTTCCCAGCATGGCCAAAAGAAACAAGTCCCACAGCAGTCTAATATTTAACAATATTTTCTTTTTTTTTTTTTGCCAGTCCCAGGGATTGAACTCAGGGACTGGGCACTGAACCTGATCTTTTGCTCAAGGCTAGCACTCTACCGCTTGAGCCACACCGCCACTTCCAGCTTTTTCTGTTTATTTGGTACTGAGGAATTGAACCCAGGCTCCATGCATGCTAGGGCTTCATGCATGTTAGGCAAGCACTCTACCACTAAACCACATTGTCAGCCCAATATTTTCCTCTTTAAGAATCACAAATTTACCAGGCACTGGTAGCTCATGCCTGTAAAATCCTAGCTACTCAGGAGGCTGAGATCTGAGGATCACGGTTCAAAGCCAGCCCAGGCAGGAAAGTACATGAGGCTCTTATCTCTAATTAACCACCAGAAATGGCAGCTGTGGCGCAAGTGGTAGAGTGCTTGCCTTGAGCTGAAGAGCTCAGGGACAGCACCCACAACTGACCAAAAACAAAAAACCCCCCACAAATTTATGTATTTTGTGAATATAAGAATTAGAGGGAGGGTTGGGGATGTAGCTTGTGGTAGAGTGCTTGCCTAGCATGCATGAAGCTCTGGGTTCAATTCCTCAGTACCACATAAACAGAAAAAGCTTGAAGTGGCTCTATGGCTCAAGTGGTAGAGTGCTAACCTTGAGCAAAAGAAGCTCAGGGACAGTGCCCAAGCCCTGAGTCCAAGCCCCAGGACTGGTAATTAAAAAAAAAAAATAAACAGAATTAGAGGGAGGAATATTCTACTTTAAGTTGTATATAGGTAAATAGTTTTTAAGAAGAACATAATTGCCTCTTGAATTTCTATTTTCCTGTTCTCTCAGAACCCCAAAGTATGTGAGTAAGAGTATGTAGTTCATGGCTTTTTCCCCCTCCCCCCAGTCCTGGAGCTTGAACTCAGGGCCTGGGCATGTCCCTAAACTGCTTTTGTTCAAGTCTAGCACTCTACCCTTGAGCCACAGAGCCACTTCTGGGTTTTTCTGCTTATGTGATTCTGAGGAATCAAACCCATGGCTTCATGCATTCTACACAAGCATTCTAGCACTAAGCCACATTCTCAGCTCCTAGTCCGTGGCTTTTAAGCTCAAAAATACAATTTTTGGTTGATGGCAAGCCCTCCTGAGGCAAGAGGGCTTCAAGGCCAGCTTGGACTACAAAATGAGACTCTCCTTTTTCCCCCAATTCCAATTTTACCTAGTCGCTTCTTTAGGTCTTCTTCTGGAATAGGATCTTTAAGACTTGATATTCTTACTGCCTCTTCTTCTACTAGGCTGGAAGATCTGGTACTCCCTATGTGGGTGGTATGGCCATTCTTTAATATGTCATGGCTCAGCTTTCCTGGATCCTCACCACCTGCCAAAAGAAAGAGGAAAGAGCTAAAGTGATGGGACTTGGCGTAATCAAACAAGAAGAGCTGCTAGTGTCTAACCTCTCTTACTCTCTTGCCTCCTTGTTTTATTTATACCTATGTTATTGGAACCCTTCCAGTAATAATAAAAATACGTAATTCCTTTTTTCAATAAGTATCTTTTCTTTCTTTCTTTCTTTTTTTCTTTCTTTCTTTCTTTTTCTTTCTCTTTTTGTCGGTTGTGGGGCTCCAACTCTGGGCCTGGGCACTGTCCATCAGCTCTTCAGCTCAAGATTAGCACTCTACCATTTGGGCAACAGGGCCACTTCTGGTTTTCTGGTGGTCTATTGGAGATAAAGAGTCTCATGGACTTTCCTGCCCGGGGTTGGCTTTGAACTCTGATCCTCACATCTCAGGCTCCTGAGTAGCTAGGATTACAGGTGTGAGCCACCAGAGCAGCCTCAATAAAAATCTTATGATGGCACGGGTGAGGAAGGGGTGTTGTCACACCTATAATCCTAGCTACTAAGAAGGCTGAGATCTGAGGATTGTGCTTCAAAGCCAGCCAGGGAAAGAAAGACCATGAGACTCTTTTTTTTTTTAAATTTAATTTAATTTTATTTGTGAACATACTGTACAGAGGGGTTACAATTGCATGGGCAGGATAATGCGTACATTTCTTACCAACATTGCAGCCTCCTCCTTTGTTTACCCTTCCCATCCCTTCCCAGCCTCCCCCCCCCCCCCCCCCCCCCACCATGAGACTCTTATCTCCAATTAACCACCAAAAAACAGGAAGTGGTGCTGTGGATCAAGTGGTAGAGCACTTGCCTTGAGCTGCAGAACTTAGTGACAGCACCCAGGCTCAGAATTCAAGCCCAACAACCAACCAAAAACAAAAAAGAAACTAGACAAACAATCCCAGTTCCCGCAGAGGTTTCCTAAATTCTTCAACAACAGAGCTGAAAACATCAAACTTAGAGATTAAAAGCACTGTCTCATTTCCCGGAGTCATATGGTAACTGGCACTAGTTGTTCACTTCTTTGTTTTCCCTAATGAGACACTTTTGAGTGTCTCTTGACACCTGATTGAGTTAGTTCACTGAGTTCTTAAGGACCAGTCCCTTACCCTGACACATCACATACTACTAGGAGATCAGTCATTCTTCAGGGAGTCCAATCAAGAGGTGCTATTTGGGCTAAAAATTCTGAAGAATCTAAATAACAAATGAAAAGGTACTCCTAAAGTTAAAGTTACCTGCCCTGCCAACTTTTTTGATGGAAGGGAAGCAGGGCACCGGTGGCTCACACCTTTAATCCTAGCTACTCAGGAGGCTGAGATTTTAGGATTACAGTTCAAAGCTAGCCTGGGCAGGAAAAGTCCATGAAACTCTTATCTCCAATAAACCACTCAGAAAAATGGAAGTGGCACTGTGGCTCAAGCGCTCGCCTTGAGCTGAAGAGGTGAGGGACAGTGCCTAGGTCCAGAGTTCAAGCCCCATGACCACCACCACCACCAACAAGAACAAAAAAAGAAAAGAAAGGAAAAATGGAAGGGAGCAAACTGACAAACTGACAGTTATGCAAAAGTAATATGTTACTGTAAAAGAGAAATGAGAAATGAAATGTAACCAATATATGTCTGGAGTTTTACATTTATAATAAACTGCTTCAAAAATTGAACAAAGGCCAGGTACTGGTGGCTCACACCTATAATCCTAGCTACTCAGAGGTTGAGAGCTGTTCCAAGTCAGCTTTGGACAGGACCTAAAGTCCATGAGACACTTATCTCCAATTATCCACCTACAAAACAGAAGTGTAGTTGTGGCTCAAAGTGGTAGAGTGCTAGCTTTGAGTGAAAAGGCTCAGGGACAGTGCCCAGGCCCTGAGTTCAAGCCCCACAACTGACCACAAAAAAAAAAAAAAAAGAACAACTACTAAACCAGCAACAAGTATTGAAATCTCAAGCTATCCTCTTAGCAAGAGAAAGATAAGTGCAATAATAAAAGCAGGGAGACAAATGTGATCAAAAGAAGAAAGTAATAACAACTGCTGAAGGTGACACAAAGCTGAGGATATACAGATACAAGGAATTGTTGCCCAAGTATCTTTCACTAATCACTCTAATTTCAGAGTTAAAAATCTAAGGCAGCCGGGTTCTGGTGGCTCACGCCTGTAATCCTAGCTACTCAGGAGGCTGAGATCTGAGGATCACGGTTCAAACCCAGCCCGGGCAGGAAAGACCGTGAGACTCCTAGCTCTAATAAACCACTAGAAAACCAGAAGTGGCACTGTAGCTCAAGTGGTAGCGCACTGGCCTTGAGCTGAAGAGCTCAGGGACAGCGCCCAAGCTCAGAGTTCAAGCCCCACGACCGACTGACAAAAAACAAACAAACAAAAAAAACACCTAAGGAAGACACTTAAGAAGGTACAGGAAAAAACTTATTTTTTGTCATTCATAGGGCTTGAACTCAGGGCCTGGGCCCTGTCCTGAGCTCTTCAGCTCAAGGCTAGAGCTCTACCACTTTGAGATACAATGCCACTTCCAATTTTCTGGTGGTTAATTGGAGCTAAGAGACTCATGAACTTTCCTGTCCTGGCTGGATCTGAACTGTGATCCTCAGAACTCAGCCTCCTGAGTAGCTAGGATTCCACATGTGAGCCACTGGCATTCAGCCAGGAAACTACAGCCTAACTATAGAAATAACAGAAAGAAAATTTAAATACCTATTTAGATCCAATTAAAGACTAAATACACAGAGAAAGTCATATGATATTCATTTGAAACTTACCTTGCTCAGGATCTTCCAGGAGAACTCCTCTCTTAACCAACTCTTCTCTTGGTTTTCGCATAGATATTTTTCGCTCTAAAACTAACATTGAGTTGAAAAACACCACTCAGAAATACAGTACTTGAAATGTCAACATTACTCAGCATTTGAAATCCATAGGTAGAGAAAAATGTATTCAAATTTCTTCATTCTTAGGACAGAAACTAAACAAAAGTTAATTTCAAATTAAAAAAATTAATTTCTGGGCCTGGGGTAGAATCCTTGCCTAGTATATGTGACACCCTGGGTTCTACTCTCATCATTAAAAACAAAAAACAAGACTTTAATTTCTTTTATACACTATTCTATTGGGGAAATATCATTTCTTTTTTTTTTTTTTGGGTCCGGTTGTGGGGCCTGAACTCTGGGCCTGGGCGCTGTCCCTCAGCTCTTCAGCTCAAGGCTAGAGCTCTACCACTTGAGCCACAGCACCACTTCCAGCTTTTTTCATTTTTCTTATGTGGTGCTGAGGAATCGAACCCAGGGCCTCAGGCATGCAAGGCAAGCGCTTTACCACTGAGCCATCTTCCCAGTCCCTGGGGAAATATCATTTCTAAAAGGAAGAATCCTTTTATAAGGTAACCCAATTGAAATTTTAATAATAAGGTTTTTATGGATAAAGTCTGTATTGATAGGAAGTGGGCAAAGTAGAAAAGAAGCACTTTAGGCTTCATTATTATTATTATTTTGGTTGGTCCTGGGGCCTGAACTCTGGGTCTGGGCACTGTCCCTCAGCTCTTCAGCTCAAGGCTAGCTCTCTACCACTTGAGCAACAGTGCCACTTCCAGCTTTTTTCTTTTGGTTTATGTGGTGCTGAAGAATCGAACCCAGGGCCTCATGCATGCAAGGCAGGCGGTCGGTCTACCACCGAGCCACCCTCCCAACCCTATTATTATTATTATTATTTTGGTGCCCATACTGTGGCTTGAACTCAAGGCCTCACAGCTCTGAGTTGGCTTTTTCGTTCAAGGCTGGCAGTCTATTGCTTGAGACACACTTCCATTTCCAGTACTTTAGATGTTGTTTTCTCAGTGTAAGACGGCCACTGCACCACTGAACAGATTAGTCACTGTTAGTGTTTTTTTTTTTTTTGGTCGGTCGTGGGGCTTGAACTCTGGGCCTGGGCGCTGTCCCTCAGCTCTTCAGCTCAAGGCGAGCGCTCTACCACTTGAGCTACAGTGCCACTTGCGGTTTTCTGGTGGTTTATTGGAGATAGGAGTCTCAAAGTCTCTCCTGCCCGGGCTGGCTTTGAACCGAGATCCTCAGATCTCAGCCTCCTGAGTAGCTAGGATTACAGGCGTGAGCCACCAGCGCCCGGCTTGTTTTTGTTTTTGAGACAGGGTTTCATCACTAGTAGTAGCCCAGTCTTTAAGATTCTCTTGTCTTTGCCTCTTGAGTACAGGCAGTAGAAGAGAATGCTAAGAGTATAGACATGCACCACTATTCCCAGCTCAGCCATTCAAAAGACAAACCTAGGAATGAGGCTATAGAATATCAGGCTCAGTGAATGACCATTTGTATGGTTAAATTCTAAAAGACTAAATGATCCAAACAGGGAGGTATAGCCCTTCCACAGAAACTATGAAAAAGTTAGGAGCTTCTACGTTAGAAAGCCTGGCATGATGGTACATGCCAATAATTTCAGTGTTTGGGAGCCCAAGGCTGGAAAGGTTGAGGCTAGCCTGAGCTGTGGAGTGAGATTTTGTCTCAAAATCCAAGAAACCAAAAAGAAAGAAAGAAAAAAGGAAATTCTACAACTCATAATACATAAATTACGCTCTCACCTTTTTTTTTAATTAAGTTATTTTTCCTTTTATTTTATTAATTTTATTTATTGTTTATGTGGTACCAAGGAATAGAACTCAGGGCCTCATGCTTGCTAGGCAAGCGCTCCACCACGAAGCCACATTCCCTGCCCCCTCGCTCACCTTCTGATGTCTCTTTGAATTTATCACTACTTTTTTTTTTCCTCCATTTCCAGGGCTTGAAGATTTTGCCAAAGCCTGAGAACTTGCTTTTTCTTTTGGTCGGAGGTGTTGTGTCTCCAGCTTCTACACTGTCCATGACCATGCCTGGATCTCCAGTATGCTGGTCTGCTTCTTCTGTTACAGAGAGAAGACAACAACTTATTATTACTTCAGCATAATCTCTAAAACAGTCCTTCCCCTCTCTTCCTGTGGTAGTTGGAAGGGATCAGGGCAATGATAAACAAACATGCAGACAGACTCCTTAACATTACATAGATCAAACAACAAAATCTGTATCAGACAAATTACTAAAGAAATAAAAACAAACTCACATCATTTTAGGACAAAATGTCCAGGACAATATTGTTCAAAAGTGTACACACACACACACACACACACACAGACACACACACACTCACATATATACATGCACACACAGAAGGTTGGTATCTTCTCTATATACATGAGTTCTCTGATCACTGAAGCAAGGAATTCCACCATTAGTGAGGCCTTATTCTGTTAAATATTACCTTCTCCTGACTTTTTCAGGATTTAGATTGTTCAGGGATGAGCAACTCTTCACCTTACTTGCATCTATTTATCAGATTTTTGGCCTTCGTAAAAAGAAGCTTAGATAGTCTTGGCACAATGGAAGGTGAATGAAGTGAGGTACATGGTTGCAGTGAAAGAGCATGTTTTAAAATGGAAGAAAATGTTCTGAAGAACAGACAGAACTGAGATTCTAGTCTGTCTATCATGGTATTGCTTTAGGGATAATCCTGACACTAAGGATTTGACATGAAACATAATTGACATGATACATCTACAGGACTGAAATGAAACGCCACGGCCCCTTAGATAATGACAACACATGCAGGACTTAGTTTCAAGTAGAAGAGAAAAGGAGCAGCCAAGGCAGGGCCAAAAATTTATTTAAAAAAAAAATAAAAGCAGGAAGGCAACAACAACAACAAAAACGCAGGAAAGCAACACAATAGAGCTGCACTCCACCTACTGTCCCAGGGTTCTCTGGAGAAGTCTAGAGGGGAAGAAAAAAAGAGTTATGTGGAATAACTGTTCTGAAATTAAAGTAGAACTGCTATTTTATAAAGATACATTAAAGAATACATATTGTATTTCATATTGGAGCAAATAATGCCTTCTGGGGGAAGAAGGGTATAACACATGCATTAAAAATTGTCTCCTTTTGAGACCCAGAATTTTGAGACTTTTAAATCTTTTTGGGACTGTGATGTGGAAATACTGGTGTTTCCAATAATGGAATGTTGGCATATACAGATTGGGCAGATGGTATTTACACAGCCTTCTAAGTAAAGGCAGTGAATTCTCCATTTCTTACTGGAGGATTTATTTAAATAAAATATGCTTATTAAACACTTCCTCCAAAAAAAAATTGTCTCCTTTTAATACTGCAGGATTAGCCTGGTGCTGGTGGTTCACGCCTGTAATCCTAGCTACTTAGGAGGCTGAGATCTGAGGATTGCAGTTCAAAGCCAGCCGGGGCAGGAAAGTCTGTGAAAGTTATCTCCAATAAACCACCAAAAACCAGAAGTGGGGCAGTAGCTCAAGTGGTAGAGCACTAGCCTTGAGCTGAAGAGTGCAGGGACAGCCCACAGGTACAGAGTTCAAGCCCACGACCGACAAAAATAAATAAATAAATAAAAGAAATACTGAAGGATTTTTTTGTTGGTGGTAGAGCGTGAACTTTGGGCCTGGGTGCTGTCCCTGAGCTCTTCAGCTCAAGGCAAGCACTCTACCACTTTAGCCATAGCGCCACTTCCTGCTTTTTGGTGGTTTATTGGAAATAAAAATCTCATGGACTGGGCTGGGAAGGTGGCTCAGCAGTAGAGTGCTTGCCTTGCATGCTTGAGGCCCTGGGTTCGATTCCTCAGCACCACATAAGCAAAAAGAAAAAAGCCAGAAGTGGCGCTGTGGCTCAAGTGGTAGAGCACTAGCCTTAAGCTGAAGAGCTGAGGGACAGAACCCAAGCCCAGAGTTCAGACCCCACGACTGGACCCAAAAAAAAAAAAATTCTCATGACTTTCCTGCCTGGGCTAGCTTTGAACTGTAATCCTCAGATCTTAGCCTCCTGAGTAGCTAGGATTACAGGCATGAGCCACTGGAGCCCGGCAATACTGCAGGTTTTTTATGCTGCTTTGTTTGAGACAGGGTCTTTTTGTAGCCTAGCATGGCCTTGAACTTACAATCATTCCATTCTAATTGAGCCTACTGAATGCTGGAACTATAGGTGTGTAACACCCATACTTTTTTTTTTGGGGGGGGGTGTTGGCACTGGGGCTTCAACCTCAGGGTCTGAAACTCTCACTAAAGCCTTTCACTCACAGAGGGCTCTCGATCACCATCAAGGTTGGTACATTTTTTGTGTGTGCAAATATACAGTCCATAAATGTTAATGCTTTTAAATATTTGGCAGTTGCCAAATCTAACCTTTGCTGGGTTGACAGTAATCTTGGGAAATTTGAACAAGGTTGGATTTATATAAACTTTACTATCAGAGTAACTAACTACAGAAATGATTGCTGATCTGATAGGCTTCAGTGTCAAAAGACTTAGGTAAACCAGATTCTGGTTACTAAAGTACAACTGAAGAAGATGACATAGGACAGTGACTTCTTTCTTCCTAGTTACATGACTTAAGGCATCTTAGATCTCAAATAATTCTAATAACATTAAATGCACTGAATCTGATGGGAATAACTGAGTACATTTTTTTAAAGAGAAAACAAAACTTCTGGCATAATTTTCCCTCAATGAGGAAGTAAACCCTGGAAGAATCCCAAGAGTGCTAATAGGGTGAACACATGATACCGGTTTGTTGTTGTTGTTCTTGTTGTTGTTTTTTTGTCAGTTGTGGGGCTTGAACTCTGGTCCTAGGCACTGTCTCTCAGCTCTTCAGTTCAAAGCTAGCACTCTACCACTTGAGCTACAGTGCTACTTCCAGCTTCTGTTTATGTAGTACTGAAGAATGTAACCCAGGGCCTTATGCATGCGAGACAAGCACTCCACCACTGAATTATGTTCGCAGTCATGATATTGGTTTTTTTCAGAATTGTGATTTTGCCAGGCGCTGGTGGCTCACGCCTGTAATCCTAGCTACTCAGGAAGCTGAGATCTGAGGATCTCGGTTCAAGCCAGGGCAGGAAAGACCGTGACACTCCTATCTCCAATAAACCACCAGAAAACCAGAAGTGGCGCTGTAGCTCAAGTGGTAGAGCGCTCGCCTTGAGCTGAAGAGCTGAGGGACAGCGCCCAGGCCCAGAGTTCAAGCCCCACGACTGACAAAAAAAAAAAAAAAAGAATTGTGATTTTAATTAAGACAGTACTTTCTAGGTGCTGAGTGTTCATGCCTATAATCCTAGCTATTTGAGAGGTGAAGAAAATTGGCAGGACAGAATTTTGAGCCTGTCTAGGCAAAAAGTTCCTGAGGCCCTCATCTCAATCAATAGCTGTGTTTGGTGACATGACCTAGCTATGGTGGAGCGAGAAGTGAGATCTTATCTCAAAATTAACAGAACTAAAAGGTATGGAATCATGGCTCAAGTGAACAGTGTCTGCCAAGCACAGAGTCCTGAGTTCAAAACCTAGTATTCCTCTTCTTCCTCAACAGACATTATTTGCTTATATAATATGGGACTGGGAATGTGGCTTCGTGGTGGAGTGTTTGCCTTAGCATGCATGAAACTCTGGGTTTGATTCCTCAGTACCACATAAACAGAAAAAGCTAGAAGTAGTGCTGTAGGTCCAGTGGTAGAGCGCTAGCCTTGAGCACAAAGAGGCTCGGGGATACCCCAGGCTCTGAATTCAAGCCCAGGACTGGCAAAAATAAATAAATAAAATAATAACAACAATAACAATAATAATATAGTATCAATGAGAACTGAAGATGTTTTAGAACATTCATAATATTCCATTTAATATATGCTAATGAAAAAGCTTTCAAAGACATGGGAAACCTCAGAAATGGAACTAAGTAACTAACAAACTGTTCAATCTCAGTCTTACTTGGACAGGCTAAGAGTCATTAAAGCTGTAATGTGCTAACCAATAAACTAAGCATTCTAGAAAAAAAATAAACAAACACATAACATAATGTCTATTTGGTTTAAAAAAAGTAGTAGGGGAAATTAAATCTAAATTTTTAAAAAATTGGATGTAGATGCATGTACATGCACAAGCATACACAATGCACCAGTTCTGGTCTCAGGGCCTGGGCACTGTCTCAGCTGTTTCCACTCAAAGCTGACACTCTACCACTTGAGGCCCAGCTGTACTTCTGGATGTTTTGTGTGTCTCAGTCCTGGGGCTAGAACTTGGGTCCTGTCCTTAAGCTTTTTTCTTTTTTTTTTTTTGGCTCAAGGCTAGCATTCTACTACTTGAGTCCCGGCTCCATTTCTGGCTTTTTAATAGTTAATTGGAGTTAAGAGTCTCATAGACTTTCCTTTCCAGGCTGGTTTCAACCTCAGATCAGTCTCTTGAGTAGCTAGGGTTACAGGTGTGAGCCACCAGCACCTGGGTATGAAATTCTTTCTTTTTATGTATGTGTGCCAGTCTTGAGGCTTGAACTCAGGGCCTGGGCACTGTCCATGAGCTTCTTTTGCTCAAGGCTAGCACTCTACCATTTGAGCCCCAGTGCCACTTTTGGCTTTTTCTGATTATGTGGTACTGAGGAATAAAACCCAGAGCTTCATGCATGATAGGCAAGAACTCTACCAGAAAGCCACATTCGCAGCCCCGAAATTTTTTCAACTATCTTTATGTTAACAGAGAGCATGAGCTAAAAGCACATTTAGTTTGTATTAAAAAGTATAGCAGCACTCAAGAGCTCCTTATGTTAAATCCTTATGTTAAATCATTTAGTTAACCCAATTCCAGATTATTATCTGGAAACCCCACCCTGTTAAAAGCGATAGAAGCAAACATTTTCTGTCTATAGCTTGCTTCTTGGCTGAAGTACAATAAACTATAAAATGACAGTACTATTACAGTGTTTCCTACTCGGCAAGATATTCCCAGAGGCATTCCTTGTTCTTTCCTTGTCTCATAGTATAAATTAAAAATAAAAGTTTCGGGCTGGGAAGGTGGCTCAGTGATAG